CTAGACCCAAGTACATGCTACCTCACTGCTCTGACATCCTCAGGGCATGCTTCACCAGTGGCAATTTGGGTCACATGTTCTCTTGTTCATATACAAAAAGGGAAAAATCCTCTCCCCCAGAAATAGAATGTCTCTTTCCCTTCAATCTGACTGGTACAAATAACAGTTTATAGGGAAATGCCTTGAGTTGACTGGCTTGGAGTAATCAAAATCTAGCCCTGGAGTGGGTGATGAATCATCATCTCAATCTCCTGGATGACAAAGAACTCGAAGCATTGGGATAAACGTGAAAAACAGAAAATAAGCAGCAGCTTGGTATGGATGGAGTGATGGGAAATCTAAGGTTGAAAAGAGTCTCAAACTCTTGTGAATCTGGTCTGTATTCCATACCACTGGTTCTCAACCTTCTGGCCCTTTAAATACAGTTCCTCATGTTGTGACACAACCATAAAATTATTTTCGTTGCTACTTCATAACCGTAATGTTGCTACTGTTATGAATCGTAATGTAAATATCTGATATGCAGGATGGTCTTAGGCGACCCCTGTGAAAGGGTCATTCGACCGCCAAAGGGGTCGCGACCCACAGGTTGAGAACCGCTGCCATAGACAATAGAAAGTTAACACAGGTTTAGGTAGGGAAGTAACATGCTCCAATAGGATTTTTTAGAAACATAAGATTGGTAGCATATAGAGAATAGCCAGAGAAAAAGAGGGAGAATAGGAGAATAACTGGCAGAGACTTGGTTGGTAGGCTATTCAATAAATAGTCCAGACCAGTAAGAATTGGTAACAGGGAGGTAAAGGATTGAATAAATACTTACAAGGTGGCAAAGCAGCTATGTAAGATACTGCGTATACATAACATATATACATATATAAACATACATATATATATTTTTGTTTTACAGATGAGGAAAATTAAACCTCAGGCAGGTTAAGGGGCTTGCTTAAAATCACATAAACAATAGTCAGAATCTGAATGGGGGTTTGAATTCCAGTCCAGTGTTCTATCACAACTATATCTAAACACTCCAACAACGCTCAAAAAAGGGGACTTTTAAATATTTGTTAGAGAGAGAGGGTGGGAGAGAGAAACATCAATCGGCCAGCTCTGGCCAGGAATTGAACAGGCTACCTTTCAGTGCAGGGACGCCACTAAACCGAGTGAGCCACATTGGCCAAGGCCTGAATTCTATGACTTAAAGCAGGGGTCCTCAAACTACGGCCCGCGGGCCACATGCAAATACAAATATTGTATTAGTTCCCGTTTTGTTTTTTTACTTCAAAATAAGACATGTGCAGTGTGCATAGGAATTTGTTCAAAGTTTTTTTTTTTAACTATAGTCCGGCCCTCTAACGGTCTGAGGGACAGTGAACTGGTCCCCTGTTTAAAAAGTTTGAGGACCCCTGACTTAAAGGTTATGGTGTGTATTAGATTGTTATGATTCCTGTTTATTCCAACCTTAACATAATATTCCCTACATAGGTTTAATGTCCATTATAAAACTTGGTACATTATATGTTTTTAAAATATATATATTTTTATTGATTTCAGCTACGAAGGGAGAGAGAGAGAGAGAGAGAACAATAATGATGAGAGAGAATCACTGATTGGCTGCCTCCTGCACGCCTCCTACTGGGGATTGAGCCCACAACCCGAGCATATGCCCTTGACTGGAATCAAACCTGGGACTCCTCAGTCCTCAGGCTGACGCTCTATCCACTGAGCCAAACCAGCTAGGACCATTATATGTTTTTGAAATCTCTGTATTATTTTTTTTTCTTTTTTTTTATATTTTACTGATTTTTTACAGAGAGGAAGGGAGAGAGACAGAGAGCCAGAAACATCGATGAGAGAGAAACACCGATCAGCTGCCTCCTGCACATCTCCACTTGGCCACTGTGGCTCAATTGGTTGAAGAGTCTTCCCATACATTGGAAGGTTGCTGGTTTGATTTCCAGTCAGGTCACCTGTTTGGATTTCAGGTTGCATTCCTGGTTGGGGCACATGTGAGAAGCAGCCAATCAATGATTCTCTGTCATCATTGATGCTTCTATCTCTCTCCCACCCTCCCTTCCAACTCTGAAATCAATAAAAACATATATATTTTTTATATGGGCAAATAATTTAAATTGGTATCTCTTCAAAGAAGATATGCAAATCAAAATCACAATGAGATGTCATTCACACCCATTAGTATGACTATCAAAATAAAAAAGCAAGTTGTTGAGGATGTGGAGAAATTGGAACGCTTATACCAGGGGTGGGCAAACTTTTTGACTCGAGGGCCACAACGGGTTCTTAAACTGGACCGGAGGGCCGGAACAAAAGCATGGATGGAGTGTTTGTGTGAACTAATATAAATTCAAAGTAAACATCATTACATAAAAGGGTACGGTCTTTTTTTTTTTTCAGTTTTATTCATTTCAAATGGGCCGGATCCGGCCCGCGGGCCGTAGTTTGCCCATGGCTGGCTTATACAGTGATAGTGGGAAGGTAAAATGTTCTGGGTATACATCCAAAAGAAATGAAAGTACACACTCAGATATTTATACACCCATGCTCATAGCAACATTATTCACAACAGCCAAAAAATGGGAGCAAACCAACTATCCATTGACAGATAAATGCATGAATAAAATATAGTATACTATATACATACAATGGAATATTATTCAGCCTTAACGATTTGTACGCCATAAGCATCTATAGACGATGCAGCAGAGTTTTTTTTAATTAAATTCAAAATTGTGGCAGTTAACTGGTTAAAAATGAAGGAAATTCTGACAAAAGCTATAAGATAGATGAACTTTGAAGATATTATGCTAAGTGAAATAAGCCAGTCACATAAGGATAAATATTGTAAGATTCCACTTATATGAGTTTCCAGAGTAGTGAAATTCAAAGACAGAAGTAGAATGGTCATTGCCAGAGGCTGCAGATAAAGGGAAATGGAGAGTTAGTGTTTCATAGGCAGAAAATTTCACTTGGGGAAGATGAAGAGAGTTTTGGAGATGGATAGTGGTGATGGTTGCACAATCTTTTTTAAAAAAAGAATAGTTTATTGATTTCTTAAAAATATATTTTTTTATTGACTTCAGAGTGGAAGGGAGAGGGGGAGAGAAAGAAATATCAACGATGAAAGAGAATCATTGATCCGCTGCCTCCTGCACACCCCGCTAGGGATTGAGCCACAACCCAGACATGTGCCCTGAAGAGGAATTGAGCCGTGACCTCCTGGTTCATAGGTCAACACTCAACCACTGAGCCACACTGGCAACGCAAGAATAATTTATTGACTTTTAGAGAGAGAGGAAGGGATAGGGAGAGAAAGAGAGAAACATCAATGATGTGAGAGAATCATTGATCGGCTGCCTTCTGCACACCCCTTACAAGGATTGAACCTGCAACCTGGGCATGTGGCCTTGACTGGAAATGGAACCGGCAACCTCCTGGTTGATGGGATGACACCCAAACAACTGAGCCACACTGGCCAGGGCAGTTGCACAACAACCTTAATGCCATAGAACTAGAGACTTTAAAGAAGTTAAAATGGAATTTCATGTTATATATTTTCACCACAATAAAAACAAAAACAACACCAGCTATGTATCCTTCCTATTGACTATCCTAGTCTAAGATCTTATCTCTTCATATGCAGGTAAATGCAATAGCGACTGCTGTCCCTGGTTCAGTCCAGTCGCTTCTCATCCTAGCTCAATCTGTAGATAACTGATAGGTCCAGCTTACTGGTGTAACATTAATGTCTGGCCTCCAAACTTTCAAAAGCTTCCCATATCTTGCAAAAGAGGATAAAAATCTAAATCTCTTCAATCCAATACTCAAACTCTTCCAAAATCTTCCAACTATCTCATGTTTTCCTTTTAGTCCCTCAAAGAAATTTAGTCAGCTCAGCCTAGCTTCCCTCCATTCTCCTCCCCCAGAGCTAATCTCCACATTATACTCTTGCTTTTATCTCAAGAAGTAACTGCTCCAATCTCTCTGTAAATCTAAACCCTCATAAGCTAGTTCAAGTACCAAGTGTTCCAGGAAGTTCTTTAGACTCCTGACACCTCATCATCTCCCCGTGACCTGAACACCTACAGCATTCTTTGTACTGGTAGAACTTACTAGATTGTCTTCTAGACTCACAGAGGTACATCTTATCTTTCCTGAAGGTAAAGTCTATATATTACACTTTTTTCTTTCTTCCTGTAGTATATAACACAAAGCACAAAGTAGATAACAGGTTTAATTGAACACAAGTATAATTTTGGATGTGTGCATTTCGTTAACTAGGCTATGAAATCAGAATCATTAGACATTACTTTATTTCTGAAGGTTAACCTCTGGCACAACAAAGAAATTTCTGTGACTTAACAAGACACATGGAAACTGGGTGATATAGATGGGGTCAATGGGGTAAAAAGGGGACATATGTAATGCTTTCAACAATAAAGGTCTTTTTAAAGATTTTAAAAAAGAAACTACTAGGTGGTATAACGCAGCAAACATAAAACAGGTGTTTTAAACCCTAAAATTAGAGTCTGATACAGAAAACCTGTTTAAATGCTGATGTTGGGGCCCAGAACAATACAGTAGTTAGGTTGTGGGACAGAATATTCACCTTTGGGCTTTACTGAATGCATGCAAGAATGAGCCATGAATGCTGTAAGTGGGCACAATGCAGCCACAGGCTATGAAAACTCTAAGTGAAATGTCAGTCCATTTCTATTAAATTCAGGTTAGAAAAAAAAATCATCAGTTACTTATGGTAACGGATAGTAGCTGTCAGAATCACAGCAAAGTTCTTTGTTTCTGTTTTCAACTTTACTGCACGAAGACCTAGGGATGGGTACCGGTGGCGACAGATGCAAATCAACGAACAAGAAGCTCAGGAGTGTAGTGAAAAGAGTTGTCTAAAGGGAGCCTAGAGCCTAGTTTAGGTCCAACCCTGAGCAGCTGCAGCGCCCACACTAAGCCACTCACTCACTCACCTCCCTGGGCCTGCCCCTAGTGTCCCGGCTCCAAAACAAGTCCCACCAGATCTCTCAAGGTTTTTCTGACTCCGAAATCCCACGACAAGTTTAACCACAGCTGCCAGCAAAGGTGTGATTCTTACAATTTCAAGTCTTTCTTCCACATCTCCGGAAGAAAGGAAATTATTTCAGCAACCTAAAAGAAATAGATACTACTCAAAGACCAACAACAAAAAAAATCTGTTAGTTGAAAAAACTAATTGTGGGGGGGGTCGGGGGGGGTGGGGGGAGCCTATGTCCTCATTACAGCAAGATGTTTTAGCAGAGGGAACAGTGCTCCGGTAAAGATAAGCAAGACGCTTCTGTAAACTGGGCCTAAAGCAGAGGACTTGTTATCTGTGCTGGTATGTGAAGACCTGCTATTGTAGTTCAGAGCAGAAACAACACTCAAAGCTTCTAAAAAAATTTTAAAAAAGGAAAACAAAAAAGAAAAGCTTCTCAAAAAAAGAAAACAAAGACAAATAAAACAACGGCGACAAAGTTCTCACCCTCGGTGTAAGGACAATAAGCCGCCGTGCGAAGGAGAACCCACGGGAAAGGCTCGCTTTCGGGTCCTCCGGGCGCAGACGCCCCGATCAACAATGTCTCCCTTCCAACCTGTCAAAGCGCAGTTCCGGCTGCAGCCCCACAACACAAACTTACCGCACAGCCTAACTTCTCCCCCCGGGAGCGGCCTGCGCCCTCTCCGCTGCCGGCCGGCCGCTCTCCCGTCCACCCGGGGCGGCCGCAGCCCCGCAAACACGCGCCCGAGGCTGGGGAGCGGTTTCCCGGAGTCCTGGGAGCGGCGGGTCCCGCCCCTCCGCGCCCCGAGCCCGGAGCCCGACGGGCCGCCGCGGCCCCCGAGTGCCGCGCTCCCCGCTCCGAGCGCCACACCTCGCGCCTCTGCCCCCGGGACGGCGGCGCCCGGCCGAGCCCGCCCCTCAGGGTGCACCGGGACCGGCCAGTCCGCCGCCGCCGCCTCACCCCCGGACGGACGACTGCCCCTACCCCGGCGGCAGTCCAGCGCCTCCTGCGGTGGCCCGGCCCCAAGCACGGCCCCCTCACCTCCAGGCTCAGCCCCTTCCTCGCCGGGACGCCTAGCGCCGCGCAGGACAGCCTCGGCTCCCAGCCTCAGAGACACCGAGGGACACTCACCCTGGAGGCTCCTCCCGCCGCTGCTGTGGCTGCCGCCGCTGGGACCGCGGCCGTCACCCCCGCCGCCGCCGCCACCAGCACCGCCGTCCGCACCGGTGCCAGCACCCCCTGCCATCCTCCTCCTCCTCCTGCCGCCGCCGCCGCCGCTGCCGCCTCTCCGCTCCTGTCAGGGGCTCAGGCTCCGGGACTGCTCCAGGGTTCCCTCGCCGCCATTTTGACTCCTAGAGAGAGCAGGAGGGGCTCGGCCCGGCGCGGCCCTGGGGCGCCTGCGCGGCGCTGCGGAGCCGGCCCGCGCCCCCGCCGTCGACGCGCCTGGGGTCACGTGGGCCGGCGGCGGCGCGCGCACGGGGCGGGGCGGGGCAGGCGCGATCGCGGAGCCTGGCCGCCGGGGAGCCGCATGCGTGCGCATTATCCCCGCTCCACGCCGGGGGTTGGACACTGGGCCCTCTGACTTTGAAGTTGGTTGTCGTGTCCTGCTTCTTCCTGGGAATGGTGACACCTCACTACAGGCCCCAGAATGGAATTCCCGTAACTACGGTGTTGGACCTCCAGGTCTGCCCATTCACGCTTCCGTTCTGCGGACCACGTCCTGATGGACCGCACACAATGCACCAGCCTCCAAGAGGGCATTCTTGGCGTCTGGCAGTTTATCTTCAGCCCTGTCTGCGCGGTGCTTTTACAGGCACCACCTTGCTAGTTGTGTAGCAGGTTAAAAAAAAAAATCCGTTAAAGACGCTGAAAAGTTGTTCTCAACAAGACACGCTCATAAACGAGGGACAAGAATTGATGAAAGCGGTGCCACGGTTGCCACGCGGAGGCGTCAAATTGCTCTAACATGTCCCTTGTTTGAAAGTTTGCAAAAATGTCAGTGATGCAACAGCAAAAAAAAACCAAAAACACCCACCGTATTTATGGAGCACCAGGCAGTTCTCAAAACACCGTGAAATACAAGACTTCGTTTAAACACCAAAACTATCCTTTGAGGTAGCCGGGACAGGTATTATTATCGTCTTTTACAGCTGAGGGGACTTTGAAATACCAAGTCCTTTGCCCAGGGGCACACATGTAGCATTAGCAAGTAGGCAAGCCAAGACTAGAACCCAGACATTTCTGACCCTAGTCATGAGGTCGTAAGGATAGGCCTTAGGAAAACAAGATGTATTTGTTCTCTGGAATTAACCTAAAACCCTTTTTAAAGTGTTTGCATTTTCACCCTTTGAGAAACAAGATTTTTAAGTTATACCGAGTATTTGTGTTGTTCTCAGATCACCTCTACACTTCAGAAGATAAGAGCAATTTCAAGTTTTGTGATGTGTTTTTAACCATCTCTGATATATTTAAATATGCTTCATATCCATTTGGAGGGTTTAAGTTTTTGACATCCTTCAATGGAACTACTTTATCTCTTTGAATAGGATCATTGCTTTTGTCTGTACTTTTTTCAAATGTGTTCTGTCTTTCTTTTGCTCATTCTTCACCTTTTACTTTCTAGGGATACCTCTTCCCAATTTGTATTCATTTTTTCCCCCCTTCACCCCATGCATTTTCCCCTACACTAATCCTTGAAAGTTTGGAGATTGTTTAAACAGAGACTGTAGAATTTCCTTGTCTGAAAAAGAATCCCCTCTGGCTGTGTACTCTTCAACTGAGTACGGAGGTGTGGACCGTAGACAGGACGCGCATAAAGTGAGAAAATACAAGGGAAATTGGCCCATCTACTTGGAGCAAAGAATTGGCTCTCGATGCCCACCTCCTATTGCCCTGTATTGTTTTACTTCCCCTTAATATATAATTAAATATTATGTCAATTACAGCCGCCTACTGTTATTTTCCATTATTTTGCCTTTGTCTTCAGCTAAATATTGCATTAATTGTAAGAGCTATTATTTGAAAACTAAAAAGTCCATTGGCCATACCACCTCTTTACAACTTACTAAAAGTTAAATAAGATCAGTCTCCACTAGTTACACTTTCTCATTTATTTCTAACATTCATTGCTTGACTTTGGTTCTCCTTCCTAGAAACAACTTTAAAAACAAAATTAAAACAATACTGACAATGATAGCATTCTAAATAAGTCCAGGATTATACCATTTTTCTAAAAGCCTTTGATGCAGAAATCTACCAGAGGCTTTTTGAAAAACTGAATAAGATCTCTTGGTTCACCCTGGCTGGTTTGGCTCAGTGGATAGAGCATTGGCCTGGGAACTGAAGAGTCCGGGTTTGAGTCTGATCAGGGGCACATGCCCAGGTTGTGGGCTCCATCCCTGGTAGGGGGCATGCAGGAGGCAGCCAATCAGTGATTCTCTGTCATTGATGTTTCTATCTCTCCCTTCCTCTCTGAAATCAATAAAAAATATATTTAAAAAAAAGATCTCTTGGTTCCACAATGTCTTTTTGTCTACTTTATGGATCTGATTTGCCTTCGCAGAAACCATGCATAAGTTTTCTGTGACTTTTTCCACGAGTTACTTCATCTACCCTGTTTTCAGTGCACCTTTGAGATACTGAATTAACTCAGTTTACAAGTCCATCAGAATTTAGATTTGTCAGTTTACTTCAGTCCAATACACATTTTTTTTTTAAATCTTCATTCAAGGATATTTTTTCATTGATTTTCAGAGAGAGGGAAAGACAAGGAGAATATCAATGGGAGGGAAACACATCAATTGGTTGCCTCCTGCACATGCCCTGACTAGGGCCCGGGGCCAGGGAGGAACCTGCAACTGAAGTAGTGCCCTTGTCCGGAATCGAACCTGGAACCCTTTGGTCCACTGGCCAATGTTCTATTCACTGAGCCAAACCCGCTAGGGCCCACACACATTTTTTTAAGCATCCAATACAATGTATGTAACACAGTGCTAGATGCTCTGGGTAAAAAATAAATGATTCTTTGCCATTGAGAAGCTTAGAAACTAAATATGTAGACTGGAAATAATTTTACATAGTAATACTTTTAAAAGGCTAGTGCACAGATAGTACAGTTGACCCTTGAACAACGCAGGGGTTAGAGGCACTGACTGCTCACACAGCCTGAAATTCCATGTATAACTTTTCACTCTCCCAAAACTTAACTACCCTTGGTATCTAACTATGGATACCATGGGGGCTTTAGGTCCTCAGCAGATACCCAAATCTGAGGATGCTCAAGTCCCATATATAAAATGGCATATCTGTGGACTTCCAACTATGGATCGAAAACAGTGAAGGCATTTATTGAAAAAAAACCTGCCTATAATTGGACCCTTGCAGTTCAAACCTGTATTATTCAAGGGTCAACTATATCCAGTAAGGGTGAAGAGTATGGGTTCATAAGAATCTTTTCTAGAAATTTCAGAAAAGAACAATCCATACCGGGTTTTTCAGTTGTTATGACCCATTATAACTCACCCCACTTTTTTAAAAAAAATCTTAAGCTAATTAGAAGTGAGCAAAAACAGTTGCTGTCACTTGTGATCAAGAGTCCTGAATTGTGTTGTGTTCTTCTCCCTGCTCCCTCCATCAGTGAATGGCACCCCATCCACCTGGTCACTTAAGCTGAAAACCTGAGTTATTTTCTAACCCCTGCGTTGTTCAAGGGTCAACTGTACTATCTGTGCACTAGCCTTTTAAAAGTATTACTATGTAAAATTATTTCCAGTCTACATATTTAGTTTCTAAGTTAAAATAACTGTGTATTCCATTTTCTGTTACTCCAATCTGTCCTTCCCTTTTTTTTTTAAACTATACATAACTATCCACCAAAGCCCTTCCCTAGGCTTACCTTTACGGAAATACAATATGGAAGCTGGGTTTTTTAAATCATGGAAAAAGGGAAAATTTAATTTCATCGTGTGCTTTGCATATAATGATACTGTTTCCAAGCATTTTGGGAGAAAAAGGTCCCATCTCTGTCTGTCCCACCGTGGAGCAAGTTCAATCTTGTCTCAGCAGGGCCAGAATTAAGGCCACTGCCCATAGTTTTGCTCCATATTAAAGTCCAATCCAGTCCAG